AATGTCACTCTAACAGGGGTTAAATTGAGATGGAATTCAAGGGTACATACCTAATTGGAACTCTTAACTATGCGTATTACATAAAATGCGCCCTATTTAGCATAATCTTCAAAAGACGCGCAGATACACAGAATCAAAAAAAACCTCGAGTGAATCTCACTTAGGTATACCATTTTGTATGGCAATGTGGTAATGATTAATTATTTCCCTATCTACCAAATTTTCTTAAAAATATATTAGGGTGGTTTCCATTTCAGTGATCATGGAATTATATTTTTAACGCACCCTTACTTTGTTTGACAAAAAAGAAAAAAAAAATTGAACTTTATAGGACAATCTTTTCGTCCTCCTGTCCTTTGAAAAGTATTCAGCTCAACAGCGGTTAATTTATTTGATGAATTTGGCTCAGTTATCATAAAAAAAAAAAAAACAACAAAAAAACAAAGAGCAACATCAAAGCTGTGCGAATCGTTTTTGAATACAGAAAAACGTTTACAAACGTTAAGAAAAAACTGTAGCAAACAAATTTAAAAAAAAAAAAAAACAAATATTTAATAAAATTAATATTTTTATTTTATTTTTTTTTTTTTTATTCCCTTATAAATATCTTTGATAATCTGTGCCAATCTGTGTCTGCACTCACCTTGTACACTTTCGTCGTGTACTGTATATAACATAAGAAAATACGCAAACATCAAATCGATACGCCGTAAACTGCACGTAGTTCAAGCTGTCGCGAAATCATATCGAATATTGGCACTAGTTATACTAGTAGTTCAAATACTCAATAGAGATTAATGATTATTTATTTTCGCATTTCAACAATGGACAAAAAAAAAACCCCAACATGTTAAACCAACAATAAAATGACTATAGATATACATACCTATCTATGTAGGTACTAACCTGCACTCATCAAATAATATTACAATTACCTACATACCTATTGTTTAACCGACTGCTGTTCGAGTATAGGTATACGAGGTACTCAATACCTATAGTATTGTACGAGTAGGTACACTGTTTGCACTGTTTTCAAAAAAAAAAAAAATACAAAAACATAAAAAATTAATTAAATAATACCTACATTTGTTAATACCTACCTATATAAATATATATAGTGTTATTATCAATATTATCTTTCATTACGAGCATACTAAACTAGGTTTACATATTATTATTATTAATATAGCCGTTATATTGTAAACTTATTATTATAGTTATTGCGTGTGTATAATAATGCCCTATAGGCGGTAGACGTGTGTTTGACCGAACTAAAATCCGGTTTTTTTTTTTTTTTAATTTAGAGAAACTGCAGTCGTCGACCGGATGCGTTTTATAAACTGGATATTTGAACTTAGAAACCGAGGCAAAAATAATTTATCTAGGTATTCGTTTTAGAGTAAAAAGAAAAACCCCACACGGTTTTTTAAAAATGCGATTAAAGTTATCTAAAATAATAGTTATAATCCGGAACATTAGCTTACAGTACACACAAATCGGTGTTTATGAATAAATTTACCGGATCGAAAGTTCCCAAAATTGTTTTCACTGTAAAATAAACGAATCATTCAGGTGATTTATAACTTTATAAGTAATGGTATCATTGCAAATCGCGCGTTATCAACTTGTATAACTTTGTATTTCACTTTTATGTAACTGACACCGGTTTATTATTTACTTATTTACTTAAATCAATTAATTTGTATACATCCTTATGGGCCTATGTACGATCTGTTTTTTTTTTCAAAACCATGTTCACACTTTACAGGGTTAACTCTCCTGCCTTGTCACCTCCCACCTATCCAATTTTGATGTTTGTTTTTTTTTGTGGAAAGAGGAAAAATTCTTCGAGGCGTATTGGATTTGGATTTCAGATTCTGAGCGGAGCAAGGAATGTATTGGTTTTACAATGGTGTTAATTTTTATTTTTTTTCTGTGAATAACTTTTCTATCAAAAATTTTGCTCCCCAGGAAATTTTCCTGAAGTAGTATTTTAAGGAGGTCATTTTTTGATTTTCCCAGGGGTTTTTATAGTAAATAGGAAAAACTGGGAAAAAGTGTAGGATAAACGGGGGAATTTACAATATCACTTATTTTTTTATTAAAATTTTGGATATAGTTAACCTATGTATTTTTTTATCGAGTGAAAAATTGGAGACAAAATATCTTTGTTGTTTTATGGATTGAGTAAATGAATATATGATGTATACTGTATAGCTATGAATATAACTTATTATGAATGTTGCTGAAATATGATACTATAGCAATACAGTGATAAAATAAATAAACAGAATTGTTTTTTTGTTCGCCGCAAACAACGACCGTCATAAACAGGTGCTAACAACGCGTACAACATATACAGTGTTGAATTGTTGAAAAAAATAGCGTTCCGAGTAAAAACTATGCTAATACTTTTGCATATTACACAGGCTGTAATCGGCCGATCAACTTGAAACTCACAAAAGTCCCATCTACTTAACATACCCATTGATCAACCCGTGTAAATTTCAAAACAATCGGTCCATTAGTTTAGGCTACAGAGAGGTCGGACCATTTGTCGTAAAATTACACAGATTAAATAGGAGTTGGCCGTCTCGTATAATATACAACGGTCGACACACGAGCTTTCTTTTTTACTTAACTCTGCGCCGCGACCGCGATGATGGATTTTATACATATTTTTATTAAATCGTGTAGAAAATTAATACAACGGCTTAAACAAATGTGCAATCCATTTTAAATAGATTTTATTATTATTATTACACATTATAAGGTGTATTACTCACTATAATTAATGGCGAACTAAAATTTTTTTCTTCCCAGACTTGTGTGTATGAGTGTATTTATGAAACAAATTATTTCATCGATTACAACAAAACTGCAGTAAAAATTCGTAATACTTATAATCGAAGGTACGGATAAATAATTGAGCTAGGGTTCTTCACTATCCTTAGCATACTGTGACTCGATCTTTTCGACTTCATTATTTATAGGTACAATATTGTCATTTAGATTGCGCTCCGCATTTCCATCTATCTTTGATAGGTAGACACACAACTATACTAGTATAATAGGTATATCTATTGAATTTTATCAAAACAATTTGCATGTATTTAATAGTAAATGTATATGCAGACTGCAGTTTACTACATTATACTTGCCATTACGACCGGTTTCACCGCTATACCTGAAAGTTAAAAAAAAAACTACAATAAAAACTATCGATTAATAATGGATATATTTTTTTTTTTTTGATAACTCAATAACGCGGTGTTGGAACATTTTGTTTCATTGTCTTACGCTCACAAATATACCTAACGTGCGTCAAACACGTACTCAAAGAAGGGGTTCATGGGGTTTAAACCCAACCTACCATAGCTGACATCTGATAGTTTAAATCCAATGCGATGTTATTTTCTTATCAAACACAAATATTTATCGTATAGCTACTGGACGAGATAGCACTCATCGTATTACGAGGAGTGCTATAACAATTCGGAAAGTATTTACCCTGGCTGTATATCTCCGGACTTTATATAAGCTCGGGTATTCCATATTTGTCCGAAGTCTGTATTTGCTAATACTAATACTAATTCCGGAATTATGCATTCACACAAATACACGGTTTTAGGGTTTAAAAATCCCGGAATATACGGACCAGATGAACATTTTCCGACGATATAAATTTCGGATGAATACGGATTTCATCTATTTGAATTCCGGAATCACGTATAGTTTCCGGACAATACGGTTTTTGACTTTTAGATTCCCGGTAATTACTTTCCGGGACCGATGCGTTCCACCCATTCATTTTCCGGATGAACGCGGATTCCAACTGTAAAAATAACAAAAATAACCATTTAAATATTGATAAACGATCTGCTGGTGCTATTAGACTTGCGATAACCAACTAAAATCCACAGTATGTATATGATAGATGGAATATTTAGTAAAATTAATTAATTTAAAACCCCATGTTCTCGGCTATGTTGGCGCATCAGCTATAGTAATTATACGAATTCCACAATTGTCGAGTTAAATAAAAAAAAAAGGAAAGCGGCCAAACAAACAACGAAACAAACAGATAGATAATTGTTACGATTGGCCTAATTAATAGTTTATTACTATAACATAATATCATATACGATGACGCACCATAGTTAATTCATTAACCGCAGTCAATGAATTAATACTTTTGAGAACAATAATTTATCAATTATATTGTTATTGTTACATACTCGACGTTGTGTTCATATTTTCAAATTAAATTTTTTGAATCTATACAAGTAATCCATTATTTTCTTTTTTATTGCTACTATAAATATAATCACTTGAATCATTTTCTTCTTATTTTGTAAAGTGTGTTCGCCACGAAACTGAGTGCATTTAATTAAATTTTATATCTTTATTAATAAAAGCTATTAATCAAATAAATTAAATTTTAAAAAAGAATTATTTAAAATACTAGTTTACCTAATTGTTGATTGTATTTTTATATTTTAATTAAAAGTTTAATGGTTTTGTTTTTCTCCAATATTTAAGCCATACAAAATATAAAATAAAACACTAACAATAATACTTGTATTTATTAAAACTTGAAAAACTTAGTAGATCACGAGCTTCTTATGTTGTAATATTTTTGAATCTACATTTATCAAGTTTCCAATCAATTTCAATGTATTTTGAGTTATCGTTTTGTTATTAGTTTGCATAATATATGAAGGATGTAGGTCGTTTTAGGTACTATACACGAAAAATCAAAAAGATATTTTGCGAAATTTGCATTCATTCAAACTCGTTGATGTGTAATCAATAATACAACAAAACGTATCAACTTTAAATTTACAAAGACCTTGTTTGAGAATTTGAGATTCTGATTGTTTATAACATTTTAGTTTTTTATGTCAAATCCATTGTAACAATATGATTAGGCAAATTTAAATCAGATCTGTTTCTGTGTACGATTATGAACTATAAGAACACCTATATCGTTCAAGTCAATCATATAATTTTGTTTGAAAATGCATTATTAGTTAATAGAAATAATCAATAATTTGTACCGGCCACAAAACCTAAATATGAAGAGCGGTTAATCGGCCCAGTCCGTCATTGAATACCACCACCGGCTACTATGTATATTATACATATTATTTAATATAGACGTACGCGACGATAGTATGCTGAAAAGACGATTTTATTTTAGAATATAAGGTCTGAGGTCCGACAGCCTCGTTTCTATACCTATTATAGACTATAGAGTCGTAAACGCGACTATTCCGATTGGTTCAAAATTCCAACGCGATATTCGAAATTTAAAATTTTAATATTTAAAATTTCGAACACTATATTTTAATTGTAAAATTGCTTCTTCTTGGAGCCTTCGGACATCTCGATTCACTGGCTCATGTCGGACTTTTAATCGAAAACAAAGAGAATACGATAATTTTAGTTCGAATTTTACAATGCCGCTACTGGTTAGGTACACTTATATGAGGCTATTATTTAACGATCAAATAATAAACTACCGGAATACAACTAATACAATTTATTATCTCAAAAATTACACATGGAGCGATATAATAGCGAATTTAATGACAATAACTTCACCTCGAATGAGTCTAATAATCAACCGGCAGCGCTTACAGTGAAATTTGAATTGTTTCAGCCTCGACAAGCGGTCTACGCCGTCGTTCAATTGACGCCATGGAGGCATGGTTAATTAATCGTGGGGCAGAGGAGATGAGTAGTAGAAGTCAGTCCTCGTTATCAACGCGCAGCTGCGTCTAGTAGTAGTCGGTAACAGACATTTTGTCGACAGTTACGTATCGGGGGAGGGGGGTCCATGGAGTCTGGACCCTTCCCCTGATATTTATGATTCTCACCAAAAAATTAGATTATCGGTAAAATGATTGGTATTTGGTGATAAATTTTATGTTTATACACCCCCCTCCCCCCCAAAAGAAATTCTGACTACGTGCCTGGTTGTCGGGTTTTGTAAAGAAACGTTGACATCGATCCCAAGTCCCGACACTCCCGAAGGGGGGCGTTAGATGCCCGGCCGACGGTGCCTGTGTGGAGCATCTACCTTCGTCTTCATAGTTATAAAACCCTGAAACATGAATGAAAAAAATCTTAAAAATCTTAAAAATATAAATAAAAAAAGCCACTATAATAGTTGTCGCCAAATTTTCCGGCCTCGGTAACAATAATGTGAGCGATTTTTTTTTCTTGTCGTCGTTATTTACATAATATAAATTTATTGTAATTTATTTTAAGAATAAAAAATATCTAATATATTTAATATATAGAATTATTTTTCGTCACCCTTATATCTGATGGTGCGATTATTAACCCACTTTTTCAAATAGTAAATATCTATACTTATCTATATACCTAAATTATAAAATCCCATAAATAGATAAAGTTTTAGTTTTGATGTTGATATTTTTTATGTTATTTACCCGTTGACGGGATATTCCACTCTTAAATTTAGGTAGGGAAAGAATAGTGGAGGCGCCGTGAAGTGAATAATATTTACCTACAGCCACCAATTTCGACTTTCTCCTACCCACTTTAAGAAAATAACCCCCCCCCCTTAAACTCATCTTGTGTATAAACTATAAACCTGGAGTCACTAAACAGTTACCATGGAGGTCCTCATTGAAACTTATCAGACTTTCTGAAATCTAAAACAGTAGTGCACGTAGGCATTTTTTCGAGGGGGGTTTTGTTTATAATAATTTTCTAGAGAGGGGATAGCAAATATTATAAGTACAGTATTATCACCATTAAATAATTTGTGATGATATTAAATTTTATTTTATTCTGTGGTATAAGATATTATGTTGTTAAATGTAATACTTGGTTTTAAAAAAATGTAGCGAAGAAAGACATTTCGGATAGGGGGGTGGCCAATTAACCCCTCCCCCTCAGTGTGCGCTGTTGGTCTAAAACATTTTCAATTACTTTTGTAAATTATATACATTTAAACACTGGCATATCTTTACCTATACCTATACCTACGTTTTATTCCTTTATTGTACTATATAAAGAATACTATTAATATAGGCTGCTATTTGAAAATCAAGTTTTTAATGGATTTAATCACAAAAATAAGAGTCACAACAAATAACGAGCCATCTGTTTATAAATTGTTTGCAAAAAAAATTCAAAAAAAAAAGTTAATACTTTCCGATATAATGAGCTGGCTTATCGTGGTCCCGGGCGATTGATTCTCAATTCTATCGATCACGATTAGCAGCCGAAAAGGCCCTTTTTAGGGCAAACCCTGTATAATAAATCAACAATTACCCATATAGGTATACAATCTAACATACCTACTCGTAAATATTGGTTTAGTATAGCCGGTATAAAATGTCTAAAATAAATCACACTTTGGTTATTTACGGTGTTTAAAGTAGGTAACATAGTTTTTGCAGGTGCAGAAGGCGGCTTTGATACGCAATAAAGTATTTTGAAACATCAGCCCCCTCTACAATTATGGAAAATGTTCGTCTAATATGTTATAGACAATAATTTATTATAATATTAAATAATATTATGACTAGGTATGTATTATGCATTTAACGTACATGTTGTAATGTTTTTAACTTATTGTAAATTGAGCTCGCGCCTATTATTATACTCGTATTTAAATACAAACAAAAATTTTGTTATATATTTGATATACCTACTATAATATTATTACAATGTGACATTCGTTTGTTAAATAATTATTCTAATGTGAGTATCCATATAATTACACCGAACTCGATAGTACATAATATACCTATTATGTAGCTAATATTCAATACTGTGCTTTTAATTCGACCCCGCTTTTACAATATAATAAACGACTTATCTTATAGCGGTTTACTTACGCGTACTTCCTGTACTACACAAAGTAATATAATTTGTATTATTCGATATTACTGCTGCCATAGACGGCGTACACAATATTCGTACAACAATCGCTGTAATGCAATTATATGGTTTTTTAGTCTTTGTTTTTAAATGCTTATAATAATACAATACTATCGGAATTCGACTTTTTGTATAATATATTATTGATACTGATAAATGGTAGGTAATTGATAATGATACCAAAGTCCAGTGTAAAATAACATAGATAAAAACAAATATTAGAGGGAAACGCAACAAAAATATAGTATACCTAAAAGACCATGGACAGGGCTACGATTATGTTCCAATCCTCCAATTACCGTATTTTAGATTCGGTGCGTGCTGAGGGATCCATTGGTTTTTCTATGATGTGTGTTTTTGTATTTTTATTTCGATCTTTGAACAATTTTTCTACCAGAAAACTTGCTCCGAATTATAAATAATAGCACCTTTTCTGAAAGATAATTTTTTCTAGTTGGTGCATATTTTTTATTTTTCCAAAGGTTTTCGAAATAAATAGGAAAAAACAAAAAAGATAAAAAAAATACGATTTTTTTTATATTACGGCGTGTATTTTAGTGATTTTATTATTTAAAATTGCTACGGCTAATTGTTATCCATCATAAATATCACTCCAATAAAAAAAATCAAGGGAATTTTTAATCTAGTTGGTGAAAAAGAAAGTCATTTTGGATTTTGAGTGGATCGAAGAAGCTTATGGTTTTACAATGATCTTTATTTTTTTTTTATTTGTGAACAACTTTTCTACTAGAAATATTGCTCCGATTTATAAATGTAGCACTTTTTCTAAAAGAAAATCTGACTTGCGTGTTTCAATTAATGTTCAAAAAAACAATTCGTGTGCAAGCCATTTAATACATAAAAAATAATACTGATTGAATTATTTGTTAAGAACTGTTAATCGCAAAATATATTTACAATTCGTAAAATACGAGTCAACATAGTATATCTATTCGTATACTCATATTCAAATATTTGATGTATTTTCAATCCAGTGCAAGATCTAGGAGAGGCGATTTGAGGTGATCGCCCATTCCGTTGTTCACTCAATATACTCTTAGCTTGATTTATCTTCAAAATTTGATTTTAAAATTCTTGTAAAAAAAATACTACATTAACTAATTTGATTTTTTTGACCACTAGGTATAACTTATAGAAAGAACCTCTTATTAAATTTTCAATCAATTCTATTAAGTCTAACAGTTTATTTAACAGAGTTTAACAGAGTACTTACCAAATAAAAATTACGTAAAAACTTGTAAAACTGAAATATCTATAAATAACTCAATTGTAAGTGAAAATGAAAGTTTTACAACATCTAAAAAATCATATCTAAGTTTTCTGTGAAAATTATAAGTCTACGAATATTTTTAACTGAATTACGTTGAAATTTTATTTTGTCAGAATTTTATTCGTGGAATCATGTTTTTTTAGAAACATATTATTAGATTCTGTAGCGAAAAATCTATTGATTTTAATATAATATGTGTGAATATTTTTTATGTGTATGTTTGTAAATAACTTTTCTACTAGTAATCTCACTCCAATTAAAAAATAAGATACCTTTTTTGTTGCGTTTTAAATCTAGTTAATGCATATGAGAGGTATTTTTTTATTTTCGAAGGGTTTTCTTAATATTTGGGAAAAACTGACAATTTTTAGTAAAATGTTTGTTGATTACCATGTTAACACGATAATAAGGGAAAAATATTACTTATGCTCAAAATCGTTTTTTTGTTAGCAATGGTTAATCGTTACATACAGATATAAATTATAGAATATTCTCCTTCCGACCCTTCCAACTTCCCTCAGTGGCGCATCCATCAGTTCTTTTTTGGAATATTATTTCATTGGATAATATTGTCAGACTTTCATGACTGCTTATTATATTATAATGTTGTAGCTTTTCATATGTCATGCACCATCGGGTAAAAATTATTTTTAATCAAAATATCTACTTACAGACGAATTATTGTTCCAAAAATTACGGTGGTGACAAAAATGTATAACTTTCTACCCTGTAAGAAATGTTCTTCTTTCCAACAAATAAAATCAGTTTACTCAGCGAGACAAGAGTGTTTTTACTGTAAACATTATGTTTCCGAGGGAAAAAAACAGGTTGCGCGCGGGCTCATTATTTATAGGTTTTTGTCATAGGATAGGTATTTTATTCGTATGTTTATAGTTTAATACCGAAACACAATATCTCGGTTGTTTAATATATGTGTTTTTGTAATGTAATTTATTGATTAGGTATCCGCCTACTATAACGTGGTTGAATATGTTATTCTTGACAATAATATTATTGTACACCGTCAAGAGGTCAGATGACGGCGTGACTTGCGTCACATCCAAAAAAAAAAAAAAAACAACAAAGAAACAGATAATTTTATCAATGTATACATTTCCGCGTGTGTTTAATACAAATTTTAAAAAATCGCTAAAGCCATTATCAACAAATTTACAAAATACCGTGTTGTTTTTCGCACTACGACTGAAATTTGAAATTTATACCTAATGTAAGTGCCTACCTCTGTATGTTGTCCAACTGCTATTTTGTAGTCAACCGTAAAAATAAATATTAAATAAATTATCTGGTTCTGAAATTAAAATAATAATAATGTATGCATAATTATGTTACTTTTTTTGTATTAAAATATTAAATCATCAATTTTCTTCTCGCGAATAACTCATCATATAATTTTTAATAACTATTAATTGTATAATTGAAACGTTAACATGTTTTTTGTGTTAGATAACAAACGTTATAATATAATCGTCAGCAAATTATGTAGGCGTACAATTTAATCGTCAATATAAATCGTTGTAATCTAAATACGTTTAAAACTGTGTTCAAAAATAACAAACCATGAAAGCTGATTCGATTTTCAGCTCGTGTAGGAAACGCAAAAAATATTGATTATTATTTCTTCCCGGAAAACATTGATTTATAATATTTATATAGTATTTTAATATGATAATATATTCTATTCTCTTCTCGTAATCTTGTAATCTTAATATATAATCGTCTAAAATTGGATATTTTATTTTAAATTCTGAGTGTAGCGAAAAATATAGCTTTTTTTAGTTAATTCTACACTTTTACTCCTAGTTAGGTCTACTTATTCTTAGTTTTCCTAAATATTTTTTTTCTCGTAAAACTGTTTTTTGGTTGGTAAACATCTTTTCTCCCCGTACCTTAAAAGATGCGGATATTTCTCTCTGTGGTAATTACTTTATTTGAAAACGATTTCTAGGTACCCAACATTTTTGTAAAGTTTAAACACCTGACATCTACTGTCGAATCGGTTGTAATTTTGTTGGTCTTAGGGTTACCTTGGCTAAAATAGGAGGAAAAACCTTACTAATACTACTATAAGATTACTCTGCTCAGAATCGTTTATCGATTATAATGGTTTATCTTTATTTTCAGTATATAATATGGAATTCTCTCCTACAACAGTGACGTAGGTACTCATTGTGCGAAGTATGTCCGTATTTTAAACTATATTTTCACGCGGACGTTCTCGTATAGTCTCATTGTATTGAAATTAAAACGCTCGCGCAAAATTACCAATTTATTTACAGTAAAATACATAAACGCACACACACATAAGTACACGGATAATAGGTATATAGTAAATTAAAGTCGTTTTAACAATCTAAAATTACTTCCTTATACCGCTCACCAGTCGCCAGTTATAATATTATAGCCTCATCGTTCTAGCGATTCTTTGCGCATTGTCACCTTGAAATTCAAGTGCTCGCGGATTGTTAGGAAATAGCGAATATACCGAAAATATAATTTGCGACCGAACGTTTCTTTATAGTTTTTGTGTGTTGAAATTTAATGCTATTTTAATATAGACGGTAGTGGTTTTTGCGCGTTTTCGTTTCGTCTCGTATATAGTTTTCAGACATCACGACCGACTCCGCCATCACTTAATTTCATCTACGGAAATATAATAATAGAATAATAATAATAACAAATGTGGTTTTTATTATTTCGTCGGTTTTATGCGTGAGTAATCAAGTAATCAAGTCCCCGATAAATCGATACACTTCCGTAATCCCGTCGATACTATACGTTGTAATATATATACATATACACACAGAGCTGCATATTTTTATTAATTTTTCAATATACGCCTACGTCGTTATAAATTAATTTTCGATATTAATTAAATAAACAAAGCCAACATAATAATACATACAGTACGCCATGGGTATAGGCCTGCAATAATATAGGTGAAAAGTTCCCGTTATCGAAAAAACTAAAAGGATTTTCAAATAAATGTTTCGAATAAAGTGGGACCGGGCAAACACACCGCATCTTTGAAAACAGGCACCTACTGCACACAAAATCGGAGAATTTTTCACTGACCTAACTTACAAAGTGAAACAAAAAACACCATATAAAACTATTTGCTCCTTTTCTATATTATGCACTCAAAATCTATATATATATAAATATAGACGTGCCTCTATATAAATTACAAAATAATACTAGAACATAATATTATAATATGCTTCTTTATCGTATTTTCCTTATTATACTTTAGATTGCATACAAAGTAGGTACTTGTAGAAAAAAAAACATTGTACTTTATTCATAATAATCGTCCCGTTTATATACAAATACAATACGGAAAAAATAAATTTACATAATGTCATATCACGATTATAGTGTTTGTCTCGTTGGGGATCATATCTACACAGTNACTCATTCTATATGTAAATATGTACAAACCAAATATATTAATTAAAAGAAAAATCAATTACCTATACCTAATGTTCGTGCGATAAAACATTACAAAAAATGTAAAAAACTATGATCCAGCAAAAGATCTCGGAGAATATTTTAAAATTGTTTTATTTAATATTTTTATTTCGGTTCGTTTATTCAACAGGTGAAAATGATCAGTGAAAATGATCGTTTTATAAATCGTAAATATTCCAAATCCGAAAGTTAAAATTTCAACATTTAATAAAAAAAAAAATCAAAAGGAATCGTTGAATTTTATGTACCTAGTATTAACGTTTATCATTTTGATCGAGTGAAATCAAAAGTTTTTTGTTCCCGCGAATGAAAATCCGATCGAAAAAAAAAAATTAAAACAAATCGAATAAAAATCGTCGAACACGGTGGGACACCCTGTACAGTGTATATGGTTAATTCTTATCTATACGATTTAATGACAACAATAATTTTATTGTATTGCTGCTGTTCAGTTGATATCATGTTACAAAGTTCTAAACGCTGTACGGGTGATTAACTATAATACATAATATTTGAATCTACACTGAGAAAATGTTTTCTTTCCCTGTTGGACGCGAGCATTTCTACATCAATAATATTTGTACAATTACCTATATTATATTACCTTATAATATACTTATTTACATGTAACATAAGGTCAACGTATTTTTATACATTTCAAATACAGAACGTAATATTATTACATTTTCAAAACCGTAACGAATAATAAATAGATTTAGTATATAGTTTAATATTATGTTCAAATAGTAATAACAACAATAAAATACGACGATATTCAAATGTACTTAACACGCATAAATAAAACGAAAATTACGAAAAAAATAAAATAAAATACCGCCACGTTTTTTATTTTTATTTGTATCGCGTAGTTTTAAATTTGAGTACATTTGCCTATAATTATATTATTAGAACAACAACAACAGAAAAAAAAAACAATCGTATGTCGACATTCCGAATAATCCAAAGCACGACGCGCGATCGAATAGGTACACTCATAATATTAATATTCTCCTAGCCGTATTTTATTTTTCTCAGCACTATTTCAGAACTCTTTTAATGTACCAACAATAAAAATAGATATCCGAAAACGTTCAATATTCTAAACAGTAATAAACGTCGTATAACGACGCATTATGTTTTTTGAATTCAAAAATATTTTATAATCGAACAAAAGCAAATCACATGTACCGAAAAAAATGTAGCTCCTTGCGCAGAATTATCATATTAAAATAACGTGACAATATTGTCAGCAATGAGCGAAAAATCCCGTCGTCGTTGCTTATTATCACTCGCTGTTAGTTACTGCGTCAATACAATTTTTAAATGGTAACGCGAAGATGAAATAAGATGTTACCTGTTTCTTTTTCTTTTTTTTTTTCTGGAAACTTCCGACACGATATTTTAATAAAAATATACCTACTAAAAAATACTAAATAAAATAAATAAATAAAAAAACGAACATACTTCGCAAGATTGATGGATCACTGTTATGGGTGAAAAGTTGGGAAGATGGGATTATACAGAGGGAAATTTAATGTATATTATCATTATTGCTAACGAAAAACGATTTTGAACGAAATACAGTTACAAGTGTTTTGTCAAGCCGTAATATTTACGACTTTCGTTAAAATTTGATCTTAAAATTCTTATAAAAAAAATTCTGCAATAGATACATTCAATTTCTTTTTTTTTTGTCACCATAAGTACGACTTATAATAAACCTCCTTTTAAATTTTCAAGCATTTCTGTTGGTCTAACAATTATATGCACACTGCACAGAGTATCTACCAAATAAAAATTACGTAAAAAACTCGCAAAATTAAAATGTCTATAAATAACTTAAAAATAGCTTAAATTTTTTGACAATTTTACCACGTTTACAAAAGACAAATTTAATTTTTCTGTCCAGAGTTTCAAGTCTCTACAAATATTTTTAACTGAATCACATTAGAAAAGTAAAAAAAAAATTGAAAATGATATATTTCGTAAATATGCCCGTTATTCCAACGTTTTTTCTTAGTGTTTATCGATTATTACGAAAACTGCTTGGGAATCAAAAAATGACCTATTTATTATAATACCACCTTACGATAAAATTTCCTTTCAGACAAGGTACTAATAAGACATTGATACATCGGAACAATATTTCCGGTAAAAAACTTATTTACATCTATAAATAATAATAATAATAAACACCATTTAAAACCAAATCGCTTCGCTCACAATCTAAAAATATGTAATAAACAATCTCTTAGTTAGTAGTATTTTATATATTATAATATTATATTATATAATGTCAAATGCTTTTAAATTTAATGAAGTATTATTTATGCATTTAA